CGTGCCCAACTACGGAAAAATGTTAAAATGCTGAATAGGAAAATAAATCGATGACAGTTCTACAGCCACAGCAGGAAATGCAGCTCATTTAACCAAGCAGATAAAAATGAACGACTTCCAGAAAGCTCTTAATCTTCTTCAAGGTCTTTTCAATTAATTTAACCACGGATAATTTGCTTTTAAAACTACATGAAATTTTCCATTTTAAATATTAGAAGGCTATTTCCCAACCTTTTTTTCTAATTACATCGGGCCATGCATTTCAGCTTAGGCAACAGAATTCCTTGACATCAGTGCCTGGCATCACAAAGGCCTGTCTTCTAAGCACTGCCAGAGCAGGTGCGTGAGAAATCAGGGAACGCGAGGTCTGGGACGGCCATTCTTTGGTTCAACCCACTCCTTCGAAGCTTCCTGTTCCCTAAAGAACAAGGTGCGAATACCTGGGCAGAGCATGCCAGGTGCTTTCAACGCCCACGTGCACCCCTGCGGGCCAGCAGCGAGTGCTCACAAGAGGCTGCTGAGCCACCAGCCCTGGGAGGCAAGCTTTTCTGCCTCTGCGCTTTTGCCCATGCTGTTCCCTCTACCCAGAATGCCGTTCCTGCTTTGTGCACCTAACAAACTCCTACTTTTCCCACAAGGCCCAGTGCCCAAGAGTTTCCTCCTCTGTGAAGTTTCCCTCTCTGTCGTCTCCTTAGTGCCAGCTCTTACCTTGTACACACTTGGTCCCTAGTACCCGACAAGCACAATAACTGGTACACAGTAGGTGCTTCATCAGTGCTTGTTAAATGAATAAATAAATGAGTGAATAAATAACCAAGAATAGCTCATACCAAATTTAATAGTCAGGTCCTGCTAGAAGGATCTATTGATATTGGCAGTAGTTTAAAAAATGAGGCCCGACAAGCACACAAAGGTAGGGACTAGTACTGTCCCCACTGAACAGTACAGAAACAGAAGCTTAGGGACGTGAAGCAACTTACCCAGCTACTAAGTGGCAGCGGTGGATTTCAAAATCCGCGCAGTTTATTCTACAGGCTGTGTCCTTAACCACTGTGCCAAACTACCTCTTTGCTGAGATGCTGGGCAGAAAGCAACCCTCTGAAACACGACGCCTGAAAGAACTGGCCAGCGCACTTGAAGTTGCTTCAGTCTGCTTTGCCTCTGGGCCACTCTGTCCTCTAACTCATAGGAACCGGTTATTTTGATAAATCTTGGGCATTTCTCTGTCAAATCTCTCTGTCTCATTGGGTCTTGTTTATCTTTGCATCCCCCATACATAGCACAATGCCCGGCCCATGATACATATCAATAACTATTTGCTAAATTTAAAACTATTTGATGCCATGATGCTGACAAATGCTATGTGACTAAAACCAAGAACTCTTCGTCAGAGCTCTTTGTACCACACTACCCAAGTTGAGGCCAACTAAATAACGTGACTTGGCTACACCAGGGAGGTGCAGGAACTTCACGTACGCTTGCTGGCTGAGCTCTCAAGAGTAGCTCGCACTTTCTGCTTACACGACTGTGTCTCAGACGAACCTGGAAGGATCTGGGGTCCCGGTGAAGTAGTGAATGCACGGTGAGCTTGTGTTCTGAGGCAGGACAGACACTACACTGGCTGTGGTGAGGAAAGATTCGGAGTCTATACAGACCCCACTGGCTTTGTCCCTTAAGATGTCGATCATAGTCTGCACAGTGATGCTTTCTGTAAAGAAAAAAGAAAGGGGTTGGGGGGAGAGAGAGGTGGCGGGCTGTTAACCAAAATTCGTTTACTCCTTTCCTGTTTTAGTAACACAGCTTCTGAAATTATAGCTGAGAACATAACTGCCTCCCTACAGACTATACTTCCCAGCTTCCCTCGCGGCTAGGTGTGGCCACGTAATAAATCCTGAGCAACGGGAGACGTGTAGAACTTCCTTGCAACATCCATAGAAAGAAATGCTTACCCTTCACTTTTCTTTTCCCCCTTCCCGCTACCTGGGAGATGCCAGCAAGTGGACCCCAAATGGAAGTCATGTGTCAAGGCAGAGTACTGTATCGGTCCTGGACTGTCATCTTATCCAGACCATAATGTGGGAGAGAAAGATGCTTGCATTTTTCCTGAGTCACAGTATTTCAAGGTCTTTTGATAGAGCACTTAACAATATCTCAACGCGTGTAGTAACACAACAAAATGATATCCGTAGAAGGCACATGCAATCTATGCACAGTCTACCACGCAAGTTCTCTCATATACTCTTACTCTCGCAGTTTGGAGTGTATATTTGAAAAATTACTTCTCTGCGGTGAAAACTATACACAGAGAGAGGTATTTAGAACCGTCAGAGTCATACAACTTTTGGCTCTGACTTCACGGATCCCAGTTCTACATTTTCTCCCTCGGGTTTTAATTCACTAAAACACAATTCTTTCCGTCTGTGTTCACGAAGATGACATCAAAGCATCACACAGAGAGACGACAGCTTACAGTTCACTAGCACAACTCGCATCCTTATTGTAAAACTCTATTTGCAACACCCCTACAAATGGTAACAATAACTCCTTGATTTCTTCAACCTACCCAGGGTTCAAGTTTCCTCCTCTCATAAACGAGTTTACCGGTCCCATAGGTTGACAATGTCTCTCAAATCTCTGCCTCTCGTCTTTGCCCCTTGCATTTTATTTACAGGCCATTTCTCCTGTAGAGTTTCCCAGTCTGGACTCTGCAGATGGCACCCCCATGGTGTCATTTAATTATGTCCCCCTATTCCTTGTATTTCCCATAAACTAATAGCTAGATCTGAAGTCTTCAGCAGATTTAGGTTTGATGTTTTGGCAGGACTACTTCATACATGGTATTGTATACTTTCATTAAGCTAGTTTATTTTTAATTAAAAACTTTGAGCTTTTTTCAGTGTTCCCACTTTAAAATGGATACTTCCTTGCCTTCTTACCCAGAATATATTAAGTTCTACAGCAAAAGTCTTAAAATGTTCTTCTAGATTAAGGGTCAGCAAATTTTTTTTTAAAGAAGCAGATAGTAAATATTTTAGGCTTATGGCCATACAATCTCTGTCGTAACTTACCTGTTGCAACTGTTAATCTCTGCCACTGTAGCATGGAAGCAGCCATAAATGAAACGGAAATCAATGGGTGTGGCTGTGTTCCAATAAAATTTTAGTTACAAAACAGGTAGCTGACGACAGGTGATAGTTTGCTGACCTGTCCTAAATGATCAAAGGTTTGACTTACAAAACACTAGTATCACTAACAAATATAAAAATGTGGCCATTATGGTTTATGTGGAAGGGTTTCTACTTAGACACAAAAATAATAAGTTATCCAGTCACCATATTTACCTAAATATGGGTTCTGATTAAGTCGATAACTAAGTGGGAAACAGAGGGCTCATGAAGAGAATTCAAATCAATAGTTAACTTAATAAATGTTCATGGAACAAAGGACTGTAATAGGTATCAAAAGGGAATCCTAAGATGAGTGAAAGAGACAATGCCCCACCCTGAAGACTCAACAGGCTAACGGGAGAAGAAAATATGGGCAGAAGCTGAGTCAAATACACAAACGCTGAGCTAGAAGGAAGTCTGCATAAACATCACAGAGAGAAGTACGATGACACTAGTGTTTAAAGGGGACACAGGAGCAGGAAACTTCCATGGATGAGGAAGCACCCTGTAAAAAATAAGTGCAAGCTGTCATTTTGCCCACACATCAGGGACTTTATCCCAAGTCGGTCTCTATATACTTGTAGTCTATCCTATACTCATTCTTCACTTTCCTATGTACGTTCAGACAGGTTCTCTAAAACAGCTTCAAGACAAAGGGCACATATGAGAAGGAGAATCTTAAGGGATGTACTAACTCACCTTCTTGCTTTTCGAAGCTGTCTTTGCCTGCACAGCAGTCTAAATGGTCATCGGCTGGAGAAAACACTTCGGAAAAATTGAACTCGTCCTCTCCCGTCCACCAACCTTGACTCTGAGCGTAACCCCTGAGCTCAGGATGCTCTGCGTCAATCTTGGTCGTGAGTGAAAGCTGATTGCAAATGCACCTGACGCCCTCTGCAGAGAGTACAAAGCCCAGTTAGTTGGAAATATAAAGACTTAATCAAGAAATGGAAATCTACGGGGAATCTCTTCCCTGCAACTTAACTTTAATGAAAAGGGAGAATCAAATTCCATTTTTGGATAGAGAAACAGATGTTCCTTGGCCCTCTTTTCAGCCGATGTCCCAGGTTTGACCAGTCCTGACTGGGCATTATCACGGTGTAAGTGAGCAGAGGTCACTTGATCTTAAATTCACAATCAAAAGGAAAGATGTGAGGCCCTTCTTGCTAAATAAACCCCAAGCATTTACTCCTTACAAAGAAAGTGAAAGGTTCTTTGAAAGAGGCACTGTGCTACTAACAAGACTTGAGAATGTCACAACTGTAGAGAATTCTCCCCAATTTAGTCTTGCTCCACCTGAAGAAACACTTCACACCGCCACCCTCTGCCCAGATAAATTTGTATTTTTGTAAAAATGCAAATGTGATACTTCTTCATTCAGTTTTTTTCTTTTCAGGTCCCCAGATTTAGAAAAACGTAGAGGGCACTGATAATGAATAGCTTTTAAATAACAGAATGTACCTAGGAATAGCTGTATGTCACGTGCGCATCTAAGAAGACTCCATGGGAATTCTTTTCTCAGAAAAATATAATTAAGTGTAGCTAAATAACTCTAGGATCGGAAATGCCTGCATTCTGAGTACACTTCACACCGATGAATGAGGGTTAGGGCAGCAGTTCTCCCATCTGCTGGCAGGGTTGCTATGGCTTCGCCAAAGCCTGGGCTACAAATACACAGGATAACCTGGCCCTCAAGTTCAAAACGATGTCCAGTTATTACCAAGTTATCACTTTCAGCTCAAAATGGCCATTCATAGCTGCTGCTTCCAAGGAGCACAATGATCTTCTAAATTCTTGGAGAATGAAGTAGAGAGAGAGGAAAAGTCCAAACTACAAGCAGCAATAAAACCATTTCTACCCGAAAGCCAGTTCCCCAAAGGCGTGGTCAGGGCTGGACTGAGTTCTTTCGGTATCTTCTGCTTCACTGATCTACACTTCCAACGTACACATTCCTGCCTGATGGGTGTTTATCCTTTGCCATTCATCTTTTTAGAGGACATCATACATGTAAAGTTATTCTTAAAAATTGAAAATAAAAAATAGCTTTAGCCTAAATAAGTGATTTTGACATTATTCACCCTAAGATATTTTTAAGTCTTGTGAATAACTCCACAAATGTTTATTCCTAAAAGAGATAATTTATAAGACATTGCTTTCCAGAATTTTAGCGTTTGAGAGACAGAATTCATTAAATCCTACTGCAATCACACTTCTGCTGAGCTCAGGAAACATGAAATCAATGAGTCCAAGGAATGGCTGGGTTTAAAAAAAAAAAAAATTAGTGAAAGACAACATTCATTTTGAGATGGATTTTTTAAGCTATATTTTAAAGAGAGACTAAGTTTTTTTTAAATGCAGTTATAGATCAAAACGTTTTACGTTCTACTTAAAAGCAATATGATTGCTTTTCAGCATCGATCACTAGCCTTCTTGATGGAACCATTCGATAGAAGGACTTCATCTTAGGGGATTTTTTTAAAAAAGGAGTTTTAAGTTCCAGCATCACAGGAAGCTTAGCGCACTGGCAGACCACATTGGTTGCATGAGTCCTGTAACTGCTGTGGAAGTAGGGCAGGCAGGCACGTGTGGGCATATGTGGGGCATACGTGGGTGGAGAAACTCTCTGAGATCGCTTCGAGGGCACCATTAGCTAATCTTCACCCTTGTGAGAAGGAGGAGAAACTACAGCCTCCTCCAGGCAGACGCAGCTTTTGCACAGCTCAGTTAAGAAAGCACGGCTAGATCTCACTGCCTCGGTGGGGCAGCCTTGTGTAGGATAGAATGTGCCCACCGTCCACGGCAACCCTAACACGGGACTGACTTAAGCCACAGAAATCGACAGCCTTGATTCTCAACGACTGCAATAGATCTGCTCCTAACTCGGGTCAGATTTCGTTCCAGTCACCCCTAAGGCAGAGATGGCAAACAGGTTCCATCATTTCTGAGGAACCGGAAGAGATTTCCTGGTAAATTCAGTTTAGAAAAATATATAGGCCAAGTACAGATGCAATAAGAGAAGAGTTCTGCAATCTACTTGCCATGTCTGCCACGGACACGGGAGGGGAGAATGGCAGCAGGCGTGCTGTGTATTCATCGTCCAGTTCTAAGGGATGTAAGAGGAGCGTCATTGGCCAATTCTTTCTTAGAACTCTTTAGTCCTCTAGGAAGCCCTTTAACCCACTCTGGGATTCCATCCTGTCCTGAATATGGGTGATGATACAAGACCGCCACTCTCACCCACAACATTTCCTTCTCCAGAGCTGTCTTAGAGCAAAATGCTACAGGGGCGCAGAGCAGCGATTTACTCAGCACTAAATCCTTCTGGGTAGATTCTCTAGTCCTCTGATGTTCTGGGAACAGTGTCTCACAGAGACATGGGCTTGTTGGCCCGGGGGGAGCAAATGGACCCCACACAGATCCCAATTCCGCTTTTGGAAGAACGGTCCAAACAAAAAATGCGACATGGCTGGAGGTGATCAGGAGCAGCTAGCTCCCTGTTGTAGTAATTCATCGACCTATTATGAACGAAACTGAAAAATCACCATTCCTTTAGCCAATTAACAGAGCAACGATTTGGATCATGAAACAGCTACCAGTCTGAATTGGATCCTGCCCAGAAAGCAAATGTAAAACAGGAGATGTTAGGAGCATGCTTCCCAAGTATTGACAGCCAGTCACTCCAGGTTCAGGAGACTCCAGCTTCCTCTCTAGAAGCAGAAGCCCAGACATGAGAGGCATGCCAAAAGCCGAAGATCCAGCACGGAGAGGGTCTGCATCAGTAGCGTGGTTCCTGTACGTCAGGACACATCCACTTCGGCCTTTTCTGTCCATGCAACTCTCCACCATCCACACGCACTCACCTGTGATTTTCTCAGCAGCCCAGTACTTTCCTATGGTCTCAAGCACCCAGGCCTCCTCACGGTCCACAATCAGATACGCACTCTGGAAGCTGTGGCAAGCATCTGCATCTTCATAATAATTCCCCCCTTGTCCATGTTCTTCCAACAAGGCAACAATGACGTCTAAGGCTTCTTTAGCGGTCGACCCTCTTTCTAAACCAAGCCTGAAGTAAAGGAACCAGAAGGATACCTCGGTCATTTGGTACCACGTGATTATCAGCATAGTAACCAAAGACTGGAATGAGGCTGAGTTACGAAGCATGCCGGTATGTGTAAGTATACTAAGTACGCAGGCCCATACGTAAACAGATTTAACAGCACTTTCAGAGAACTCTCACACATTCAGTTCTAAATTCTGGGGTGTTCTGTGTCTTTGGGCATCCGCCGCCCACACAGCCAAAGAGTCAGGAACCCAGTGGCTTCTCCCTCTTAAAAGGAAGCTAAGCCACCCCTCTTTCCTTCTCTTTTCCAGCCCTGTCTCCCATGGAGCTGGCCAGCCCAGCTCTAGCCCCCAGCAAGACCCTTTTCGGTGGCTTATTCTCCCTCCTACCTGGGCAAAAGGAAATCTCTGCCCAGCCTTGTTCTCTATTATTCTATAACAGGTATTTCAGTTGGTAATAAGTGTTCCATAGCCAGCCATTGTCCTCTGGGCAAAAGGAAATCTCTTGCCAGTCTAGCCTTGTTCTCTATTATTCTATAACCGGTATTTCGGTTGGTAATAAGTGTTCCATAGCCAGCCATTGTCCTCGGTGCATAAAACTGACACAGAGATCTCAGTAGAAATGGGAGGCTGGTTAGGACAGGAGTGTGATTCTTTTCTACGTATTTCTCCTCCCACCTGTCAGCCTACCTCTACTGCTGTGGCATACAGACTTCAGTTATCAAAAAGTACACATTTCTTCTTAAGTGAAAAAGCAATCTCCTCTCAGTCCTTCTAATTAATAGACCTCTTAAGGAAGGCACGAAACTTGCCCTCTGTGTGACCTTGGACAATTTACATAATATATTGAAACTTCGCTTTTAAGTCACCTGTAAAACAAGTATCTACATCCTTGGGTCGCTATGAGGATGAGTTTCATGAGATAACGAACATGGAAATACATAGCTCAAGTGCCCAGGCCCAAGGAAGTGATCAGTAAGTTTTGAGAGTAGCACATTGTAGCAGGAAAACAAATGACTCAGAGATAAATGGACCCAGCTTCTAGTCCTGGTTCTGCTACCCACTGGCAGTATGATCTTAAGTAATCTAACCTTTCCAAACCTTGATTTTTTTCATCTGTAAACTGGAAACAGTACTATTTCCCTCTGGCTAATTTGAAAGAGGATGGCACATGCTATGCCCTCAGTAAATGTCCATTTATTCATCTCTTTGTTCAAATTACAATTCTGGGGGCAGGAACACAGTCTTAGAACAGAGGCAATGAAGCTGGCTATGGTGGTAGCATAGGCCAGTTCTTGATGAATTTTCAGGTTGAGAAGCAATTGTTAATATAATTCACCCAGCTGGATTCTTCCTGAAGAGACATTTATTTCACTGTGCTGCCAGGAAGAAGAGAAGATAATGCAACTACATGCTACAAATTTATTCTTTTAACAGGCTTATTTTCATGGTCACATAATTACATATTGATTCACTTGGCATTTCTCAATTTAAGCTTATTTTGGAAGACTCGGTACCAAGGCAATGATTTGTGAGGCTGAACCCTAAGACTTCAGGAGAGTGAGAATAAACCTATTAGAAGATCGACTTAAGTCAGCTTTCTGTTGGTCAATGCCATCCCCTCCAAAGAAAAGTTGGAGAAGCAAACACTCATCTTGAGGACTTGAAGCAAACGAACGTGCTATGAGCACCTCTTATAACCCAGATCTGTGCAGCCAGGAGGGCCCCTTCCTCCTTTCCACAGGCCCCTGGTCACACTGCCTCATGCACGTATTCTAAGCAGAACCCTGTCCCCAGGCTTTTGCAGGGCCTCAACCTGCCCAGGTAAACACGCTAGTAGCATGTGACTATCCGACCAGGGTAACGGCCCCGCCTCTGGAAGCTATGGCTTCTCTTCTGCAGTTTCTAACTCACTCTTGTGCTGTTCTGCCTGTTTGTTTTCCACACTGAGACTCCCAATACTTGCACTTGCCCACTCCCTCCCCAAACACACACACACACACACACACTGACTTTGGTGCCCTCTGTGCACAGCATCTACAGGGGGGGCCTCCCCACTCACCCACAGACACAGTTCTCATTTTAGCCCTTGTGCCAGGACCATGGGAAAAAAATACTCCTTTGTCCCACCTGGCCATTCCCACCTGGTCTCCTGCCATGAGACCAGGACAGGACTACCTGCTCCACAGTGCCAGGGCCATGAATGAGAACGACGTCACACACTCTCTACATGTGACTGAGAGGTGGCGAAGCACCAGGGCTACAGCAGGTAAGGGCAGCGAGTCACACAGCAGCGGTGGCCTACTTGGAAGCCTCTCGCGACAGTTCCACTTCCTGGACTCACGAGGTTCAAAATGAAAGCGGCGCCTTTCTGATGCCCATGCCTAATTTCACACTGGCCGCTAGACCTCGTCATGGAAGCAGGGCAGGAAAAGGGATGAAACTAACGGGGCCGAGGTGAGAGTCTGACATCAACCTCAAGTGCAATTCAAGTCCTTTCAAAGTACGTGCTCGGTCCAGCTTGTTCTGCGTCTTGGAATTAGATGTTTCCGAACTCAAATCCCTGGGTAAATAAATCCCTATTTGGGACCCATGACTTTCCTACATGTATGTCCAGCTCGCTGTGCCCATCCCTGAAATGGTGGCACATCTCACGCCTGCACTTGGCCTGCTTAAAGCCCCGTTTAGGAGCTCTGCTCACTTATCTTTTGGAAAGCTACGCCTCCATAGGCTAGGGAGACCTCTGTCGCTTTTGTATCTCAATTAAAGTAAAGCCAAGCTGTAACTAGATATATCATGGATATATAATCACTGCCCAGGGCAAAGTCATGAAAATAGTCACTACCCCTCCCCTTATGGGATGGGCCTGGTGTTCTTATAAAGATGCAGATGCAAATATAGTTGACCCTTGAGCAACACGGGAGTTAGAGGCACTGATGTCTGTGCAGCCAAAAAGGACTCCCCAGAAACTTATCTACTAGTAGCCAACTGTTGACTGGAAGCTTTATCAATAATACGAAGTCAATTAACACATATTTTGTATGTTATGTGTATTACGTATTGCACTCTTAAGTAAAAATAAAGCTAGAGAAAAGAAAATTGTAAGAAAAAAATACATTTACAGCATTTTTTAAAAAATTCACGTACAAGTGGACCCTCGCAGTTCAAACTCAACTTGTTCAAGCGTCAACTGTAATCTTCCATTTGCCCCCCAGTCAAGGAGTCCGCCCGGCCCCTCTGGGTTCATGACCTTAAAGACATTGAAAGATACCCAGTCTTCAGCCAGAGGGCCAGAAGCAGAAAGGAAATAGGTGGGCGTTAATTGCTGCATTGATTTTGGGGTATTTCCACACTGTGTGTGAAATCTTTTGACCAATCCCTCAGCCTTGTAGATCCAAGTCAAAGGTACCTCCTTCTCGAAGCATGCATTCCCAAATACGGGTAGTCTGTGATAATCTCTAAGCACCCGGCAGTGTTTGCTGAGGGCCATGCCCTAGAATGCTGTGCCATTCACGTGGCTGCAAATCTCAGACCGCACATCTCTCCTACTGTCCTCTTAAACTGGTCTTAAAGTTTTTGTATTGCTCAATTTTTTTGTCCTCTCCCTGCCACCAGACTAAAGTCTCTTTGAAGTTTTTGAGCTTCTTCATGTGCCGACAGTCAAGCACAAAGCAGGTATTCAGTAAGCCCCTGTTGCTTAGAGTTTGATAACCTTAAAAAGATACATCAGAGGCTTTGAAGGAAAAAGAAAATCCTCTTCCACCGTCCCAGAAATCAACTGTTAAAATGGTGGTCTTTGTGATGCTATAAAACCCATACCACAAATATAACGATAACTCAAAATGCAAGGTTATAACTAAGGCATAAAAGAGGCATACTTTTCACTGTTAACTCTTCATTTTTAGGATTTCTATTAAATATAGAGGTAAAAATCCTGGGACAGCTGTCAGAACATAAGCTCGAAATTTGTTGTTATTCCATAGATTTCATTCTGTTAATCTATTAATCAAAAGAAAACCGATTGTAAATATGAGGCTTTTCCCTCCTCTTCTCCAGCTCAGGGGACCTGCTCCTCCTGAGTTTATAAGAACCGGAAATAGGAAGGAAGGATGAGGAAGGCATAAAGGTGGTTTGCTACCAAAAGGGTGTTACTAACAGACTTATCCATCGGCTGGCAGAAGCTATGGGCCACTGAGGTGTCTGTAAATATGCAGTTTCTCCCTATACAACCTGCAAAATGTGGAAGCCGCTATTTCTTTTTATAGCATGTTAGTTTGGGGAGGCTCTTTGACAGTCACCCAATCTAAAGCCTCACATTGGACACCTGAGGAAACCGTGGCCCAGAGAGGTGATGTGACTTGGTATATCCACACTGAAAACCAAGGACCCAGCTCCCAGCAAAATCTTTCAAGTACATCCATGACTCTATAGCATCTCACTATCTCAGAAAAAGGGAAGCCATTTCAGAATGTTGTTTCGCTCCAACTCCACTTCAGTCATTCATTCCAAACGCAGTCACTGATGACCCACTACGTGCCAGGCATGCAGTCCCTGGTACTTGTGAAGCAGTAGTGAACAAGCAGACAAAGATCCCTGTTGTCGAGCGTCCATAACCGCTTCCTTCTGTCACACGGTGACGGGAAGAGCAGGGAAAGGAAGAGGTGACTGAGATGCAGCGGGGAAGGAGGGAAGCGATCTCTGTTCTTTCATCCTTTCTATGTCGTGTATTTTATATGCATCCTTTTTCTTTTATATATTTTAGATATATTTCTAATACCGTAAATGTCACCCATTTTAAATATATGTACAGTTCGCTGGGTTTCGGTGTATTCAACAAGTTGTGCAATGATCAGCGTGATCTAAGTTTAGCACATTTTCAGCACCCCAGAGAGCAGCCCTGTCTCCATCAGGAATCACTGCCACTCCCCAGGCGATGATTAATCTAGTTTCTGCTTCTATGAATTTGCCTATTCTAATATTTCGTAGAAATGGAATCATAGAATATGTGACCTTTAGTGTCTGGCTTCCTTCACTTAGCATAATGTTCTCGAGATTTGTCTTGTAGCATGTTTCAGTATTTGTTTGATTTTTTTTTATTGCTGAATAATATTCCCCTGTAATCTATCCTTTTTTTCCTTAGCGTAATGTTCTCGAGATTCATCTTGTAGCATGTTTCAGTATTTGATTTTTTTTTTATTGATGAATAATATTCCCCTGTAATCTATCCTTTTTTTCCCATCATCTCAAAGTTTATATCAAAAGGAACATGTCTTCTTTGGGAGGATCATGTCACAAAATATGAGATTTTGAGAGAGATAAATCCCACACCCATTCCCCAACTGTCCTGAGCAGTTGTTTGAAAGAATCACCACACAGTACCTGACTAGATCCATTCCCAGCAGGGCTTCCGTCTCGGCGGCCGGTTCTCTGGCGTTCATGGCTTCATTGGCTATGCATACTCCATGTTCATTGGCTCCCATTTCTGCCCCCCAAAGCCAGGCAGGTCTGCTTATCACAATGGCATGGGTCCTGGGAGCTTGGTCGATTGAGATGTAAGTACACTAAAAAATGAAGACAGGAAAGAAAGAGACATCACCATCAGGTGCCACTTAGTTTTCACCTTGGAACTTACACTGAACCACCACATCAGTTACAAACAGACCAAAAATTGAAAGGCCTTGGGAAAACCAGACTTAAAAGACACCCCAAGTCTCAAAACAGCTCAAAGGTCTTCTCCACAGTGAGTTTCGGTCTTGCCAATCACTCGGTTTTACTCTCTTTGATTCAAGCCAATCTGCCCATAATGCTTACATCTATGGTGGTCATCTTCTTGAACCAGGCATTTGGCCAAATCTCTGCTCTGAATAATGTGCCTAATCATTTCAATAGGCACTGATGGCCACCAGCATTTCAAACATAGAGCTATTTATTCTCATTTGCAAAAATCCTTCTAGATCGGTGGTTTTCACATATTTTTAACATTACAGATCCCTATCTATAAAAGAAACTCTACTTAGAAGCCTGACATAGAAAACACATAAAAGGGAAAGCGCTTGTTTCTGAAGAAGGGAGGTCCCTAAGCCCCCTGAAGTGATCCCCAGGGCTCCCTAGAACACAGTTTGACAACCTACATGATGGCTCTGCTGGCAGAAAAAAGAAAATGATAATAATACTTTACATTGAACTAATGCATTAACTGTATACTCTCTTACACAACGTGCTTTCCTGTCTGTCCCATTTGATTTTCACACTAACCCATGAGCTGGACACATAAGGAAACAGTCCCAGAGAGGTGGGACTGTTTCTAACTGCTGTCAGAATGGCAGGGTGCGCCACGTACAGTTACATGTCTTACCTTCTCCAGGCTGCTGTCTTCACCTGGAAAAGCAATGAGCTAATCTAGATCGAACACTTTCTTCCAAAGTATTTTTAGCCTCAGAACCCTTCCTTCATACAAACTCTTAAGCGGAAGCATGAAGACGATGAAACTGGTCAAAGTGTGTTGAGAGGCAAACAGAACAGGTGTGAGATCGAAACTGGATGACTCAAAACTTCCCTGCTGGTTCCCCCTTATCCCTCCCCATCTTGGGTCCATGGGAGTACTCAGCTGGATACCTAACCTAAGTTATCCACAGGAGGCCTCCTGACTCTGACATTTTATCAGTCCATGACCCATCCTTTATGTGGCTAACACAGCATGGAACTTGGGTCTCTAAATTACACAGAGCTCCTTAGCTCTCAAGGGAGAATTGTATCAGCTGCAGGAGCCATTTACATTTTAAATTGGGAAGCTGAAAGCATTGGATCAAGTGCAGCCTTAGATCTTTTTGCCATTCAAGACCCAGTTATATCGACTGAATGCAGCCCAGGAAATTCTTCTGCATTGATTTTCCATAATCTCTAAACCTCAGGTAAGAGCTGAAATGCATGTAGCATGCACACTCATTGGTCACGTGACATCCGTACCTTCGCAAGCCACTGGAGCTATTGCTCTGCCCTGGGATAACGTTATTTCACTTGATAAATATTTCTCAGCTGAAAGCTAATTAAATCCGGAGGTTGTCAAGACACCCTGGAGTTTTTCATGGCAAATCAATAAGAAAATAAGCTTTTGAAATGTTTTCCCCTATTCAGTTTCCAAAAGTTATTTACTTTAAAAGATGACCCCTTTAGAATAAAACCTGGCCGAAGCAAGAAACAGCTATGGTCCTCTGTGCTCTTCTAAATATAAATGGTGTGTGTTATTTTATTTTTACTTTTATTTTTGGCAAGGCAACCCCTGGTTGACCTCACAGATTGCAAGGACCTTGTCAGCTTACAATCCCTTATTTTTTATTTTTTTACGCCTACAGCACCTGGTCTTTCTAAGTGGTCTCCCATCCAAGTACTAATCAGGCCCGACCCTGCTTAGCAGCCAAGATCAGACAGGATCAGGCTTGTCAGGGTGGCCTGGCCGTAGACTTGAAGTCTATATCTTAAAATTGCACTCTTTCATGTAAAAAAGTAGTTCAGGCATTGACCAACACTTTCCAAAACCCCTATACACACTGAGCTCCAGTGACAAATTCTGTCTTAAAAAGAATGAGTAAATAGGGAAGGAATCTTCAGATTCTTAAGCCTAGATTTATTTAAATATTTTTTTAAGGGCAGGAGAAAAGTAAAAATAGGAAACTGATTTACTTATTTGTCCTTTTGTAACCTTTATAAAATTTATTTATTTATTTATTTTTAATTTATTAGCGAAATCCAGTAAGTTTCAGGTATACGATTTAACAGTAAGGCATATATATTGCCCTGTGTGTTCACCTCTCATAGTCCTTAAGTTGATTTTTACACATTCATGTGCATTTCACCGATGACTTTTAGAGCACCAACCACATACAGAGCATTTTGTGCTAAGTACAGCTGGCAGATGAGTTGATGAGGATGTTCTGCTTTGTTTTGTTTTGGTTGGGAAAGAAGGAGAAAACACACATGCAAATTACCATGACCACCAGGCTTCAGTGTCACCGGGGCCTGTCTACTCAATTTGCATTGTATTTTGATCCCTCCTCCCACCTTGTACTTCTGATCAACCCAGTCCTGTCTGCTTTTTATTTTTCACATTCCATTCCATTTATCCCCTTCCAAAATACAATCTGACTTACGTAGGCATCACGTGTGCTGTTCACGTATGATATCTCTCCCAGTTAGAACGGAAGCTCCATGAGGGCAGGGATACATCTTTGTTGTTCGGTTCACTGATATACCCCAAGTCTGGTACATGCTCACATCAGTAAACCTTTTTTTTTTAATGAATGAATAAATGAACGAGTAACCAAGATCAGAGAGAGCATAACGGATTCAAAGGAAATCATAACACATAACACATCCGAGTGGTCAGAGGTTTTACAAGTGGGTGACACTTGAGTTGACCTTGAAAAAGGGCCAGATGTCAAGGTATTCCAGAGGTAAGAGCCTGAAAAGAGACCGATGGGGGACATTAAAGGTGTGTCATGGTGCAGGGAGGTCCCCCACTGTGACACTTAGGGGAACTACTGTGATGTCATTGAGTCACAGGACTGCCAAGAGCTCAGTAAGTACCGACTGATAAAAATGTTAAAATTGAATCAGAAAAACCATATGGTCTTTGTGAGACTTCAAAATACACGCAGCCAGCTTGACACTTTTCAGGCCAAACTCAGAATGAGCAGAAGGATGAAGATCTTTCCAGAAGGGCCAGATCAGTGCCTCCGAAGCACTGGGCTGAAAACCAATGCACCAAATCCCCCTCACACGCTACAGAGCAGAGCGGGGTAGAAGGGAAGACGGGCAGTCAGGCACCTAAGCCTTGGTGAGCCCGCAACACACACTCCTCCAGGCACCTTTGTCATGGAACCGTAGAAGCCAGGGCCTGACACGGACCCTCCTGTGGCTGCAATTCACACATGCTCCACTGTGTTTGAAATCTGACAAATCACACCTGGGTCTGAGAGAGAATGAGGAGGATGGACACGCTTATCTCATATAGACGGGTTATTTAAAATCCCACTTTGGGAGCAAACCTCGCCAAGAAGGAACATTTACACGTGTTATAATTAGCTAAATTTTGTAAAGTCAGCCATCTAGAACATGAACACCACAGGCAGTCGGTTTTTAAAATAGAATTCAATGACCTTCACATTTGCCACATTATTAATGAGGCCGAGAATAAGTGGGATTCGAGGTAGCCAAGAAGGTCTCACTGGGAAAAAAAACAAATCCAAAAAGCAACTGAAATCTTTCAGTGCGGTAAAAAAAAATTTAGCTCTCTAAGTCAAAATTCCTAGCCAAATTTCTACTAGACAAGGAAAAGAAAAATTAAAATATTTACCACTTTAGGTCTTTACAGGGGTAGTTCTGGCCTTGGCGTTGGTTATTAAGCTGTGAAAGGGATGAGCAAATTGTCATACTGCCTCACGTCCACTCCTAACCAGCCTTAATAAAACAAATGTCAGCTAGTGTGACTTCTGGTGCCAAGGCCACATAACTATACAAGAACACACAGAGCGGGGTGTGCGGTGAGGCATACTTCTAAATGCCAGCCCTGCCTAACACGAGTCGTCGAGGTTTTCAAAGTATTGCCTGATTGAGCTTGCTGCTCTCTCAGGTGGCTCCTGGGGACACATGCCAGGTCGGAAGGTGAAAAGATGAACCTTGACAAGACCCTCGAGACAAAGACAAAAGACGGTTCTTCTGCAGAGCGAGCCCTCTATTATTTTGTGCGATCGTGTCAAGAAATGAAAGAGCAAAATCAGCTTCGTGCTGTCGCCCACCCCTTGCGCATTCCAACGCACAGTATTTCTGGATCTCACCCAGTGAAAGGAAGAATAGACACTCACACAAGAGACATTTCAGTTAATGAAACGCAACCATTGTGCCTTCCCTACTGAACACAACCCTGGCACCGCCAGCGAAAACCACTGTGAAATGAGTTGATGAGTCAGCCGGACTTCGTAGGGTGGGGGGAAAAAAAGCAGGGAAAATGGGAGGCTTCAGAGAAATATTTTTAGTCTTAGAAAATTTGCAAGTCTAAAGCAGCATTGCTAATTGTCACTGAGAGTTGTTGGTTGGTTGGTTACTAGGTTGGGTTTAAAAAAAAAATTTTTTTAGCCCAGCGTCATGCCTGCTACGTGGCTGGTTTTGAAAATGTGGCCTGAAGGTTCATAGTAGGTCTAAATAAAAACAAAAGAAGATGTCGGCAACATTTTTGAAGAACTGCTTTTTATTTTCTTGAAGCTGTAAGATCTTTGAAGACGGGCTATGCAAAGACCTGGGCTCAGAAATAAATTTGGAAAAGGGGACATGGCAGAAGGAAGACCCCTGCTGAGCCACTCGCCCGTGGGGAGAGGGAGATGCTTCTGAATCCGCACAAGGCTGGGGTCCTCTGCTCCTGGGAATGAAGAGAAGAGAACAAACAACAACAGCAAAACCAGACGGGAAGAGTGGACGAGCCGCAGTCACGGAGCTTTGCTCAGCATCCTTTATTCCAAATGGCTTGTGTTTCTTACCAGAAGGAATAATCTTCAGAATTAAAATTCAG